AAGGACTGGGTGTGTTCATATCACCCCAGTATGACGGTCTATACACTATACCAACACACAGATCTGTCCAAACAGCTTGAAAAGTAGATTTTTTACCATAGGTGCCCTTTAAAATATATAAAGAAATTAAAAAAAGGCATCATCTGTAAAGCACACAAAGCTATCATTTGACTTTTTGCATTTTGATTTCATGGATCTGTCAACTAAATACAAAGTGAATTCTAGGAGAATTTTGTGCAGTTGCAAATGAAATTCTAAGAAATATAAAAGTAATGAACCACAACATTCAGAATATGAGAACATCGACGAACAAGAGTTAGGTCTTGCATCAAACTGTGAATCCTTCAATGCTTCTAAAAGTTTAGTTGGAGGTAGGCATACATTGCCCTCTCTTTTCAGACTTAAATTTAAAATACAGTTTTTTCGTGTTTTTTCATGAGAGGAATGCATTTCGCAAATGGCTTTTTGTGTCAATTTGTGTGTGGTAATGATGAGCATTACTACACTGTAAAAACATTTCATGACAAAAAGTCAAGACAACAAATATTTTTATGTTGCTCTAATTTATTTAAATAAGTTAATCAGGTTTCAACTATTTTTTTAAGTTATACAAATATATTTTTTGTAAGTTACACAAAGTTTAGGATGCTTTGTTTGATGTAAATTAAGATTAATAAGAGTTGAGCTTAAAGTTGAGATGAAAAGTTCATTTGATTCATCTAAAAAATGCAAGGCAGCAAAAAATGTTACAGAGTTGTTTTAATAGAGAAATGGATGCCTCGTTTGTTAAAGTCTGCATCTTTACTTAATTATTAAATGAAGAAATGACATTAACATTTATAGTAATCCCTTTGGTAATTTAAAATAAATTTTATGATGTAACTGTAATTTGATTATCACTTTATTAAAATGCAATTATAGTGAAATACAGTTACCTAAATTATGTATGTTTAATGAATAACACTGTTATATGTATTTCATTATTCCTCAGCCCTGGTTTTCAGTCACCTCTTATGATTTCTTTTGATTTTACAAATAAATATATTTAGCCATTTAAATTTTTAGTATCATTCAAAGTGTCTCTGTATCATTTTGAACACCATGTTAAATGGATATGTTTTTTTTTAATCATGTATTCTTTACATGTTTTATGCATGTGTGTATGTCAGTGTCTATTCCGAATTTCATTGTTCAGAGCAAAACGTGATAAGGATATGAATTTTTCTCATTTACTGTCTGTATTGCACCTCTATATACCCTGTCCTCTGAAAGACATCCGTACTTGATCGCACAAGTGAATAGATTGGGTGCACCTTCAGCTCGCAAATGCAGAAAACTCTATTTAACGCAGCATTTGCATTTTGATGGTTGTCTAAATGTAGGCTGCAGACAGTTTTCATCAGTATGCGGTTGTTAAACTATTCGCCCGCCGTTCTACACCACGACTCCTTTCACACAGCAAATAGGACTTTGTTCAGCTCTGCTCATTTTCGCACACACAGAGAGTAGATTGATTAGAGATGTTCAGTTCAAGGTCATTTCATGTTTAATTAATTATTAAAGTCAGTGTTTGCTGTGCTTGCTAGAAAGAAAGATGTGTGTTTTATGTGAGGGATGTACTGTAGGTTGCAGTTACTGCATTTTTGCTTTAAAAGTACTGATTGAGAATTATACATAGAGGAATGTTTTTGATCTTTTGATGCTATTTAGTTTAGCTTAATTGTATCTCTATCAAAAGCTTCTTAAAAAAGCCATCATTCGTAGATCATTTTGAAATGTCACTTTAGTTTACTCGAACTCAAGTGAGAGCTCACAGTTGTTTGTGAAGATTGTCAAAAAAAAGTCTTGGGTCCCTATCATACACATGGCGCAATAAGGCACAAGACGTGTTTAGTGCAATTTGTTGCTATTTTCCAACCAACTCCACACTGCTTTTCACATTTTGTGCCGCGTTGTTTAAATAGCAAATCCATTTGTACCACTTTGTTGACTCATGGGTGTGCCGGTCTAAAAATAGGTGTTTAATGGCTCATTGTTGGTGAGTTGCTATTTTGAGAAACTGAAATCAACTGCGATATTGACCAACTAAAAGTTGGTTTAAAGTCGATCACATCGTGCATGCGTTCGTTATGAGTCTATGCAGGATCAAATGCTTACACATTGCTTGTTACACGCAGGGTGTACAGCAATACACAAATATCTTTACAAATGAACAAAAATAAAACATTAAAATGTTACAAAAATTTTTTCTTAAATAAATATAAAAACCACTGCCTCCATGCCTCATGTCGGGGGGCTTTTTCAGTTTATTCATTACAATTTGCATTTGTATAATGTTATTATTATCAGTATTATTTATTATATGCATATTTATATTTGTTTTAATAAAAACAATTTTAGATTTGTCCACCTGTCGAGTTTTGGTAGACGTATGGAGACGTATGGGGCATAAGAATAGGATCTTTTTTTGGATATAACCCAGTTTTCTTATTACACTTTGTTATTATTGTTTATTTATTCGTTAGCTGGAAATAAACAAACTAAATTAAATGTGTAGGCTAATGGATGTCTTCATTGGCGTGAGTTTCCACCGTTTCCTTATCCACAAAAATAAAGGAATAAAGTAAAGATTTAAAGTAAAATAAAGAGGAAGCTCATTCTGTATCCTCAAGCTGCAGATGGTCTGTTTAACATTTTTTTCGAATTAAGTTGTGCCCACTGAACATTTTTTTTGTCTGCAGAACTGGAATGCCTGAAGTTAAGGGAACAAAAAACTCATAATCCCTTTTTCCTTTAGTTTTTTTTTTGTGTGTACTCAACTTTTGAAAACATTAGTTGCACTGGCCTAAAATGTATGAAGTTGAATTAACAAAAAACTCTTAGAAATAAGTACTAAGAAATAATAAATTATCAGAAAAAACAAACAGTTTAAATAAAAGAAAAAAAACTAAAACAGAAACAAATGTTAACAAAACATTCATTAGACAGGATTAGAAACAGGCCTGAAGGCAAAACAACAATAACAAAAAAACAAGACACTGATCAAAACAAGGCAGAACATACAGGGAAAAACGCTTTGTAAAGCTTCACATGAAAAAACAAGACTCAGCAAAGAGTGTATGAATGAGGCATCTTTATAGTCCTAGTAATCAGTCTGTCAGGAGCTTCCAGCTATGTGTGTGTAATCAGAAACTGGTTCCTCCATTTGGATTATAGTTTGAGCAACTGATTTGCCATTTCATTATTACAGGATTTTACTGAGTTGTAAATATCAGATATATGTGATTTCTCATTTGAGAATGCAGTTTGATTTATTTTTTAATCATTTGAGCATTTGATTAATCATTTGCTATGTTGTTTTGAAAGTTCGATAATTAATAAGTTTATAAACACACACACAGTTAAATACAAACAAACAGTCCACATGCGGTAAGCATTTCCTTTTGTAGAGCGAACAATGTAAATGTGAGATAAAAATATTTTTTTATGTTACAGCTTTATTTCAAAATGCATCAATTTCCTAAAAAATTTACACACATTACCCCATAATGACAATGTAAATAAAGATTTTTTGAAATTGTTGCAAATTGATAAAATAAAATAAAAAAAAACTGAAAAATTACATGTACATAGGTATTCACAGGCTTTGCTCAATATTTTGTTGATGCACCTTTTCAATAGGATCTTTTTCAATAAGATGCCTCAAGTTTGGCACACCTGTCTTTGGGAATTTTTGCCCATTCCTCTTTGCAGTTCCTCTCAAGCTCTATCAGGTTGGATGGGAAGCGATGATGTACAGTCGTTTTCAGATCTCTCCAGAGATGTTCAATAGGATTTAGGTCTGGTCTCTGGCTGGACCACTCAAGGACATTTACAGAGTTGTTGTGAAGCCACTACATTGAAATTTAATTTATATTGGAATAAGGCTGTAACATAAAAAATTGGAAAAAGTGAAGCGCTATGTATACTTTCCGGATGCAATGTACAAAAATGAATATTAATTTCAAATTTCGTTATTTTGTTTGTTTGTTGTTGTTAATAATAATTATGGCATTAATGTTATTATTGGTGTTACTAATATTTTTTGTTGATGTTGTTAGGGTTAGAAATACTGAAACCTTTATTTTTTTTAAGTGAGGAGGTCTGAGATTAACTCAAACTCAACTTAAAGTAACAAGCTGGCAGAAGCTTTTTTGGGTGGACTTGCAAAGCTTTCATCGTAAAACTTAATCTTTTTAACTTTAATTTAGGTTTGGTAAACGTGTTAAATGTAGTTGTACAGAAATTTTTACTCATTTTTGCCAGGCCAATAAAAACAAAACAAGTTATTTCAACTTTTTTCAAACTGGATTTTTTACAGTGAAAGGGGCTTATAATTTGACCTTAAAATAGTTTAAAAATGTAACTGCTTTTTAGCCAAAGGAAACAATCAGATTTTTTCCAAAATAAAAAATATAGGAAATATTGTAAAGACAATTCTTGCTCTGTTAAGCATCATTTGGGAAATATTTGAAAAAGAAAAATTCACTGGATGTGTATTTGTTTGTTACTACTGTATTTATTTGTTTAAATGCTGTAATGAAACGAAGAGACAATTCTTTTATTGGAGTAATAACATTTGTACAGTCTAAATGGGCCGCCATAATAATGCTGAAGTAAAAAACCTACTAACATATGACTCTTGTTGGATGGGGTTAGTGGGATTCACCCAACTATATATTTCCATCTCCTTTAGAACATTCTAGAAGGTCAATCTTTGAAGATTATATTGTTAGCATAATGTGGAGAGATTTGGCTGTTATTGTCCTCGCACTGACACTCCCAACACAGCAGGAACTAAACCCACACTGTTGTCTTGCTTTTCCCGGAATGTAAACTGACACAGGATGTGTTTTGATGCCAGGTGGATTCTGATAGCGCTGTAGATTTATTCAGTGTGGATTTGAGGGGACTTTAGATCTCGCGAATGAGGGAGTTTCACTTGTCACTTCATGTTTGTCCACAGGGCAGCTGAAGTCCTCTACTCTCTGACCTTGGCCAACATTCAGAAGTACGGGCAGCCCAGTGATTACCCTGCCGGGGAGAATTACAAACTACTGACTGAAGCCAGACGCAATCTAGGCCTCTTCCAGCATCATGATGCCATCGCGGGTACAGGCAAAGATTGGGTGGTTGTGGACTATGGAACCAGGTAGTTTTATTTTATTTATTTATTTATTTTAGATTTATTTCAAGTGAAAGCTATAGAAGACATTCTCTTATCCAGTTCACTTACTTCACTTTCGCTGGAACAAACTGGGCCTAAGTCAATATTTATTATCTCTGAAAGTATTTGAAGGTGACCAAAGCTCAAATTGTTCCTAACAGCTTATATGTTACTGTAATATAGAGCACTGTGGCCAATATATGGGATATCAAAATATGATACTGTTAAAAAGTTTGAACATTTTTGAAAGTGCCTTTGTCTATTCGATTGAATGCAGTAATGCAATACATTCATTCATTCATTTTCCTACGATTTAGTTTCTTATTTATCAGGGGTCGCCACAGCGAAATGACCCGCCAAGTATTCCGGCATATGTATTACACATTGGGTAGCTCTCCAGCTGCGACCCAGTACTGGAAAAACCCATACACTCTCACATACACACTCATACACTATGGCCAATATAGTTAATTCAATTCATCCATAGCGCATGTCATTGGACTGTGGGGGAAACCAGAGCCCCCGGAGGACAACGGGTGCTCTGAGGATAACACTTACACGGGGAGAACATGCAAACTCAACACAAAAATGTCAAATGGCCCAGCCAAGACTTGAATCAGCGACCTTCTTGTTGTGAGGTGACAGTGCTAACCACTGAGCCACCTTGCCAGTCACTGATGCAAATAATGTTATTAATTTAAAAATATAAAGTGACACAATTTATTTTATTTTGCCTTTAGTCTTTCCCTCCCTACTTTATTTATAGAATTTTCCAAAAAAAAAAGGACAAGGACAACCATTACACATTTTGCAATATTATTGGAACTTTTAACATGTAGAGAGAGAAACAAGGGACCAAAATAATTGTGACAAGTATTGAACCCTAGTCTTTTGTCTTTTTAATCATCCTATTTGACACACACATACATATTCTTGAGTGATGAATATTAGTGTCCTTAAAAACCCGTTGTTTTTACTTCACTGTCACTTTAGATCTAAATCTATGAATAATGGACCCTTTTCACATTTCTGGGTTTTTTCAGCATCAAAGTAGTCATAGTTGGCTAAATGCAGAGAGCAGTGAATGGCCTGCAGTGAATGAGTACCACACATATATTTTTTTGTATTCCTATTTGCTCATTTAACAAAAGAAAAGCCCCACTATAGTGTTTTCACAACATTCTAAAACAAAGGAAAAAAAGGGGCATCCTCCCCTTTAAAAAACAGCCAGTAGCGCTCTGACAGTGACAGTTGAGTGGTTGAACTCAAGTGCATCAAATGAAAAGCAAATGAGAAGCCTCTTGAAGGAGGCGGGGCATGTCAGATACTCGGGCATTTGATTAGTTATGATGTGATAAACTGTAGTGTGGGTTGATGTGAATAAAACCGTTGGTCCATTTGAGTGAAAGTGACAAACTACAAGCTTTACATGTTAATATCAGTTTTATATTTTCTATATGCGAATATTGTCACTTTTTGGGGGGCACACTAGCTTATAGATATCCCAAAAATGAATAATACTGGTATTAACATCTAAAAAACTTAGTTTTAATTACATGAGACCTTTTAAAAAATGTAAATGTTATAAACTTTCCAAGAATTAAGATGCTGATGACCATTAAACACGCCATCCAATTATTACTGATGATTGAGTAATGTAAAACTCATTTGTTTGTTATGTAAAACCTCAAGAGAGCCACAACGTCTCTAAAATATTGCTTTAAATACACTTTATCTTACACTTATAGATATTATCTTGACATTATGGTAATTTTTTTTTTATTTGTAATAGTTAAAACTATTAACTATTATGTTTGTTGATATAAAATTAATTACTATTGCAATAAATAACTGCTTGTTTTTAGCAGTTTACTTTGCCCTGACCTGTTGACTTTAATCATGCTCATTTTTGTTATTGTTAAGGTTGTTCCATTCTATTCTGAATGTGAAGCGAGTGATTGTGAGCTCAGCACATTGGTTGGTGCTCAAGGACAAACAAACATACCACAACGATCCTTCAAAAGCCTTTCTTCAGATGGTGAGTGTTCACACTGCATATCCACAACATGCTGGCCTCGCTCCTAAATATGGAAATTGCCATCTGCTATGTCATATTTGTTGCTGCTTCTGTGTTGTAGGATGATGTTCAGCAATCCCAAGATGCCCTACCTCGCAAAAATGTTCTTGAGGTTCATGGAAAACCAAGGTACCAGTTCTCATCCCAGCATTATAAACATGTTGTGAGTTAGTAGTTAAAAGAGAGCTGAATCTTTCAGTTTTGTCTTTTTCAGGTTGTTGGTGGTTTCCAATCCATTAGAACAGGCCAGAACATCCATGGTTACAGTATATGTGAATACTCCTAATGTGCGTGTGCTTAGTGCACTCGGTCAGGTGGTCCGCGCTCAAGTCAGTGCAGTGTGGAAGGATGCCAGCCATGCTACTGCAGATGTTTTTCAGGTGAGATCCCTTATACTTATGCTTGATGGAAAAGATCAGTGATTAAGTCCCCCTCAAATTAAAATGTAATTTTTGGGGTGTTATTATCAATATTTTAGTCTTAAATTTTATCTGAAATTAAATCTAAATTATCCTAAAAAGAACAACAATTTGTTTTGAGGTCAATCAAATGCTCTCCAGTATCGGATACATTCCACCCATTCAAGATGCTATTACTACATGCACTTGAGCTCAACCACTATAGGTTTTTGTATTATTTTTATTTAGTTCTGCCCTGTCTTCATGTTTTAGCTCAAATTATGTCACACATTGAGTAGAAATGCACATTTCAAAGCTCTTCACAGGAACTTTAAGGTTATGTATAAGATACTGTTCTCCAAAACAATAACAAAAATCACATTCAGAATATAGATATAAGCATTTAAAACTAGCAGTATGACAAAAACTCAGATATAGATATAGATAGATTTGCTCTCTGCTATCTACGACAGGCTTAGAGGGTCAAAATATACATATTCCCAGTTAGCATACAGACCTCAAAAAAGTTCAAAATTAAATTTTTCACACACTGTACCAGTACATAGTGCGCTATAGTGTGGATAAATGATTCAGACAATGTAAATATGATGTTGATTTTACATTATTGTCACTGGAAGTGCCACAGCATGTGGTATAATGAGTGAATCATTTGCACAAGTCTATACAGACTACATATTGGCCTTGTTTAAAAAGAGGCAGGAGCTGCTCGATGTGTCCTGTCTCATCTTCGTGTTTCAGTTGAAATGACCAGTGGTGGAAAGAGTATTGAAAATCATGCTCTTGTAAAAGTACAATTACTTGCCCAAAAATGTAGCTCAAGTAGAGTGAAAGGATCTGTTGTAAATTAACCAAAGTATGAGTAAAAAGTAGCCCTTTAAAAATACTCATGAGTAGTGAGTATTGAGTATTACGCTGTGAAAAGCTGATGTGTTTACATGCAGTTTGTGCAGGGATGTGCTAGCATAACATTCTGTAGTGCATTTAGTGATTATTTAAGGGCATTTGGCGATTTTAGTCATCGTAAAGTAAACATCTGTCATCTTCTCATCACTGAAATTCAGTCTAAACAGTCTCTGGGTCCTTGTGTGTAAAGATTTTGGACATCTTCCTGGACACTATTAATGCTTCCAAATGGTTTGCTGCATTTATAAAGCTCTCATGAGGTTGTTCAGTATGGTGCGATTTACTTTCTTTGTGCAATTTGATTGGATGGAAATAACAGGACCGATTTGTCTACTTTAGCCAATCAACTATAGACAAGAAAAAATAAAGTAGTGACTGCAGGTTGAAGGAAAGTAGTGGAGTAAAAGTACAGATACTGCACTAAAATTGTAGTAAATTACAATTCCTGAGGAAAACTACTCAATTACAGTAATTTTTGTAATATGTTTATTTATACCACTGGAAATGACATCACACATCAAACAAAGCTGTGAATTTCAAGGCACTTCAGTCAAACTTTGTGGTTATTTACACTAGTCCATGTTTGTTTTGTTTTTTGAACATTTTTTTATTTTAAACATTGTCATACAAGTTGACAAAAGTTTACATTTTTAGTTGGCAAAAAATACAATAAGAATAATGTATAAACTCAATATAACTTCATGCAATTTGAAATAAAGACGAATATGATAATAGTCTGTAATAATAAAATAATTAAAATAATAAATTATTTAATATAGTAATAATAATATAAATTAATATAATAAAATAAAATTAAATAATAAATTATTTAATATAGTAATAATAAAAGTATAAGAAAAATAAGCAATAGCATATTTTTCTAATCTATATTCTTCCAATGTCCATCAGTTCAACAAAAGAGTCACAATCTAGACCAGAGATGACCAAACTAGGGCCCGTGGGCCAAAATTGGCCCATGGTAACTTTTGATTTGGCCCGCCATCCCATCTGAGAAGAGTGGGAGTTCATATTTAACAAAACCCTTTATTTGTTTGTTTTATTGTTAAAATCTAACTGAACTTAAATGATTCAATTAAATGGTGTAAAGTAATCATATATTTTTTTAAATGTACATACTGTCACCTGACAATGCAGAGACTTTAGTGAGCAAATCAAGTCAAAGGCAGATTCTGCTTGACCTGTGTGTATTAAATATTGAACTCCACGGTATTATAAATGTGATTGTTTGTGATTGTTTGTTTTATTGCAATATTTTATGTATATCCAATTTACCAAAAAGTTGCATTTTATTTATTTTATTGGAGTGAGTTTATAGTGAGTAACGCTTTATAGTCATATTTTCTATTTATTTTTGAATATTAGTAAATTAAATTAAGAATTTTCCCCTGGCAACTTTAATGTATTATAGTTTTGCTATATTTACTTTCGGCCCACAGCTCTCGATGATATTTGGTTTTTGGCCCTTTATACTAAAAGGTTTGGGCACCCCTGATGCAGACTTTCCAAAAAGTCATAGAATACTTTGCAAATAGACCAAAATATATGAAAGTCCATGTTTGTTAGTTAAAGGTCATGTAAAAGCTCTTTGAATGTGTTTGTTCACTCCACAGTTGTCATTTGTGGCTCATGCTGCTCCTCTGGGTCTGAGCGTGTACCAGCTGATTGAGGTAATGGAGCCCAGGACAGATGCTTCGAAGTACATGTTTCTCCAGGAAGGCAGACAGCTCTCAGACAGTAAACTGGAGCATTTTCGTCAGTTCTATCAAGACGATGGAGCTCCTGTGGTCATTGAAAATCCTCACCTCAGACTATCCATCTCTGGAGCTACAGGCCTTTTAGAGGTTTGAGCGTGTACTTCTGCTCTTTGGGGTTTGCCGTAAAGTGATACATTTAGGAATGTTCAGTGATACTCTGTGTTATGTTCAGAAATCATCTCTTTGTTTATAGAAAATGATGTTGAAGGAAGATGAATCTGAGCACCAAATGAAGGTGGAGTTTGTTTGGTATGGAACCACCAGCAGTAAAGACAAGAGTGGCGCCTACCTATTCCTGCCCGACAAAGAAGCAACAGTAAGGATTTTGTTTGAGTAATTTGTTGAACGATCATTTATTCTATATCTTGCCCAGCAGTATTTTTTGAAAAATAAAAGAAACTACATTGGGTTGGATTAGGCCCAGATTCTTTTGTGAGCCCTAGTGTTGGATATTGATGCTGGAAATACATGTGTGAAGTAATAAATAGCAAGACCTTCCATTGAGTATATAAATATGTATGTAGGTAAATAAACAAATACATAAATAGTTTTTATTTCAGTTACTTTTCCGTTAATAATAAAAACAATATAAAAAGAGAATCCCACTGGGCCATTTCTGTGTGAAGTTTGTATGTTCGCCCAGTGTCCATGTGGGTTTCCTCTGGGTGCTCTGTTTTCGCCCACAGTTCAAAAACATGCACTTTAGGTGAATTGGGTAAGCAACATTGGCCTTAGTGTATGAGTGTGTGTGTGTGTGTGTGTGTGTGTGTGTGTGTGTGTGTGTGTGTGTGTGTGTGTGTGTGTGTGTGTGTGTGTGTGTGTGTGTGTGTGTGTGTGTGTGTGAGAATGCGAGTGTCTGGGTGTTTTCCTGTACTGGGTTGCAGCTGTGGCGACCACTGATAAATAAGGGACTAAGCAGAAGAAAAATTAATGAATGAATAATAATGGAAAATTATATATAATAGAATCGCGATTAATTGATGACACATGATATGTTTGTACTGTGAATATTTCTTACGTTTATATAAATACACACATGCATATATTTGAGAAAATATTTATATATATAAAGGTGTAAAACATGTATAGTAAACACATTTTATAGAAATATAGATATCAATGCAAAAAAAATGTATTTTATTTTATGTATGTGTTTGTAGAACATGTATTACATTGTATTACATCTATATATGACACACGCATATCTTATGTGCAAACAAACTTTTATTTTGGGTGCGATTAATTATGATTAATCTTTGCTCAGCACTAATATACATTCATTAATTTTCCTTTGGTTTAGTCCCTTATTTATGAGGGGTCGCCACAGCGGAATGAACCACCAACTATTCTGGCATATGTTTTATGCTGCAAATGCCCTTCCAGTCGCAACCCAATAATAGGAAACACCCATTGATTCACATTCACACACACACTCATGCAGTAAGGCCAATTTTGTTTACCCAATTTTCCTATAACCTGACCCCCTAGTTTTACCATGGTTTTTTGTGATAAAAATGACTGATTTTGTAGTGGTAATTTCCAGAAATTTGGACAATTTTGCAGTTGGAGGAGAAAAACTAAAAAAAAAGATATGTATAATATATATAAATATTGTCAAGGCACAATCCAAAATGGTAGGGATGATTAAGCCAAAGTAAGGTTATATAACTCTTATTTTTGAACATTCTTACTTTCTCTCAGATTTTGTACCTCACTCAGCACATGTGTTAGGGCTTCCCCTACCATAATACACCTAAAACACAGATTGCTGTAAAACTCATCAATGCCAGGGACTGCAGGAGTTAAACAAAATAATTTGTCATATTTATTTATTTATCATAATACCAGCCACACATGTAAAGCACAAATAATGTCCTTCAATCCAGTCACATCCAGCAGCCGTCATCCATGAGCTCGATCTGTTTGTTTCATTGCTCCGTTTGTTAGATGTTTGCTCACACTTTATTTTGCAGTCTGAAGCACGTCAAACGCACAAAATGCCTAATTCTCGCTACAGGATGTCTAATCGCATCTTTGCTTTCACGTCACATGTAAATCACTCATGCTTTATCCACGTCTGCTTACTGCACAACCCCTCTGCTCCATGCCTTTTCTATGCAATGTAATGATTGTGAGGGCGCAGGTGACACATTTTTTGAGAGACACTCAAATACATCACATGCACTGTGTGTGCAACGTCTATAAGTCATGTAAAACAATTTGTTTCAAACTGAAATAAATATAATGTGATTATGTGGTTAAGATTTTTTTGTGATTATTTTGCATTTAAATTAAGAATTTTGCAGGATCAAAAAAATTTGAGACTTTTTTTTGGTCTGGATTGAGACCAAATGGCTTGAATCCAGCTGGCTTCTTGCTGTGAGGTGACAGTGCTAATCACTGAGCCACATTAACGATAAACATAAATAATTAATTCCATAATTTACATTTTTGCAGAAGTAGGAGTAGTAAGTCTTTTTAACAACAACAACAAAGCTATTTTTATTATTGTTATTAATAATTTAAATGAATTTGCTCTGCATCTTTTGTACATAAGCAAATAGTAGTGTATGTAGCAATGATGCCACAGCTGAGAAACAGTGCAGTAAAAACTGGGTTGTTTATCGCCGACTCCTATAAAAACAGTTTATTTGAGGCAGGCTGGCAGTTAATTTGTGGCAAACAAATGATTGCCATGAGAATTTGCTCGGATGCTGAAACTTATAACACCAAATTGTCATTGAGCTGATTGGAGTTATGACTGTAATGGGAATTTAGCCACTGTTCACAGCTTTAACTGTTGTCCACTCCAACACTGGGAAGCTGAAACTCGCTCTTTCATCAGCAAATTAGGCAGTTTTGTCATGCTGTTTCTTTGGTAGCTCTGCTCTGAGGGGATTTTATGAGCGTGATTTGATTCGCATTGATTTTTTTCTCTCTGTCACACAGATTTACTCTCCCTCTCAACCGCCGGTGATTCGAGTCACTAAAGGGACGCTGTTTTCTGAAGTCACTACAACCTTCGCACACATCACACATACACTTCGGCTCTACAACACCCAGGGTAAGAGTGGATTTCTTAACTTTTCTATTTACAGTTTGGAAATCAAATATTTACACCAGACATTTGCAAAATGGCATTTTCAAGTGCAACTTTTAGGAAGGAAAAACAGTGGCTTTCTAGAATCAAACACTAAAAGTCTAATGCAGCATTACATTTTTTGTTTTACCTTCATTAAAATATAACATGTTTTATTTAAGCAGAAAGTAGTGACATCATTCAATTTCACCATGGTGTACAGACCATTTATTCAATGTAACAACAGTTTATATACAAGCAAAATTTTAATCAGCAAATTAAACATTTGTCTAAGGAACTTTACAAAGTAGTTAAAAGTTAAAAAGCCTTTATTGACGTAGCTAAAATAATACAAATCAGCACACAATAAAGGCTTTTTACTTGCTTCTGAGTGCTTTGGATTTTACAATAGGTGTTACCTGTTTACTAATTAGAAAGTTTTTTACAAAATATTTCAACTATAATACAATTTTTTTTCCAGTGATGAATTGCAGCTGGAAGTTTGTGGTTTATTCCGCTGTGGTGACCCCATGATTAATAAAGGGACTAAGTCAAAAATAAAATGAATGAATAATACTGTTAGGTGTTTAAGTTATTAAGATATTAAATGGATAAAACGCAACAATCAGTGAGTCTCTAATGATGCTGGATGAAAAATGAGGGGACACAACTGCTGGTTTAGTGAAACAAAAAGTAAGTATTTATTAAACAGAGAATGTCAAACAATGAATATAGGAAATTAGATGTAATGTAAATGTCATTTTAAATAACTGAATTAGAAGAAAAACAGGAGTGTTGCCAAAACAATGAAATAATTATAACAAAACGATCTAACTAAACCCCAACCCACTAAACTAACTAACCAAAGAAAAATGCAGAAACAAAACGCCTCTATTAACTAACAAATAAAGATACTATGCTGCTCAAATTACTAGCTCTCGTATAGAACATTCTGTTAGCCATTAGCAAAACAAGATCTCATATAAACCAATTCTCATGAAGATCGTTCAACTTCTCAATAGATACTAAATTGAGCTGCACAAGCTTATCTAATAAATCGATCACTTAATCGAAAGAAAACTAGAACACAGCAACGGCAACTAAACTAAGCAGAACACAAATGAACAGGCCAGCCGACAGTAGTGAAGAGTCTGGCTGTGAGCCGAGCGCTCCTGGAGAACAGCACAATCATGGATTATCGGTAATATCAAGCATAGGCCGTCTGATCTCAGAGAGCTGTCGAGGCACTTTGATGCCACAAATGACAGTCATGTGTTGTCTGCGCAGTGCTGTCTATTTCTAACCGGCATGCACTGATTTAAGACAGAATTCGATCTGTCTGTGCAGCGCTGCATGAAGTCGAACGCACCTATTACAACCTAACAGACTCCTCATCCTTACTATTTCTATTTGTTGTCAAAACTCACAGTTGCAAGTGCATTTTCAGATTTCAATTAAAGATTACAAGGGCAGGCATTTTTTCCTTTAATGACACTGAATTGTTCACCACAAAACTAGCAATGTGAGCTAACAAAATCATATGGCTAGTTTTGATTTCATTTGTACTTTAAGGCCCTTAAAAATGATCAAAAAGTATTGAATGCTATTTTACCTGGTATTTAATTTTGTATATGTTTTGATTATATTTATTTGCTCAAGTTTTCCTGAATTTAATCTGTGAATATTGGAATGCTGTAGTTTATGAAGTTGATAAAATCCTGCCAAATTTGACAGCACTCTGCTTTGTTTACTGTAGTAACCAAGGCATAACTGTGATTCCTGCTGTACTATAAGCGCCACCTGCTGGATTAGCATTTTTGTTCAATATTTGAATAATGGTTTAGTTTAAGATTCCTTTGTTACAATCAGTGTTTAGTAAATATAAGTTAAAATGTATGGAAAAGGGGTTAAAAAGGTCTTAAAAGGTATTGAATTTAACCCCGTGATTCTTGTTTATACCCTGTTGTTACACTCAAATTTATTTTTTTGTTTTTACAAAAAAATATTTAGAACATAGAGTAGACACACTTTATTGTTTTATTGTATTTGAGAAAAACACCAAAACAGGATGTGTCATCTTTGACTCTTACTGATAGTCAGTGGTGGGAACTGGGAGGGCAGCAATTTAACCTCAGGAAACCTCAAGTAAAAAAAAAAAGAACTGAATTTCAACATCCATGAAGTACTGCAGGATGATGACCTTATTTAAGTAGTGTTTGTTTGAGAAGTGCTTTAGTCATACTTCTTTAGAAGCCCGATTTTACAAGGATTGTTTTAGCTCTGTTTTTACAATATAAACCTTTTAAGGTACTCAACTGAAGTTTCTCAGGCTATAACGGACAATGTGAACTTTGTAATCAATGGTGCCAAAAGAGACACTGCAGCGTTACAAAGATTTAATCAGTATCAGACAGAGACGTTTAATTGTGAATGGTTCAACAAAAGTTTAATGGTGTGCTTAAAGAAAGAAATGCGTTCAGAAAGATTTCATTGGTTTCCTTATCAAGAGCACCAGGGGGGTTGGACGGTCTGTTTGTGACCTCTTCTGGGTGGGTGAGATAATGGACATGAGTGTTTTTGAGAGACAGTTGCAGTCACATGAGCCAGTGTCCTGGAGCCCTAGGGATCTTTTCCCCAGTGATGTTTGTTTTTGTCCAAAAAAAAAAAAAAAGAGAAAAGATGAGACTAAACCTTGTGGGTTTTTCCCTTGAGTTAAAAAGAAATTTGATGCGTAACCTGGATACAAACTCTTCACACACATTAAAGTCATACTTAAAGGGTTAGTTCACACAAGTGATCATTCTGATATTAATTACTCGTTCCAATTCTCTTGACACCTTCGTTCATCTTCAGAACACAAATTAAGATATTTTACTTGAAATCCAAGAGCTCTCTGATCCTACATATACAGCAACAGTACCAAGACGTTAAAAGTTTGTTTATCGAAACATTTGACGTGACTTCAATGTTTTTAGCACACAGAAGTGTTCTTACGAGCTTTGTGTGATTACAGTGAAACCAATTAAAGGTCCTGTGACGTGCTTTGAATTTTTATTTAATGTTTGACGTTATCTCAACCAAAACATGAAGAGAGGGTGCGGCATAGAGCAGCTCCTCCCCTTTAAAAAAACAGCCAATAGCGTTTTGTTTTATCACCGCTCTGCCAGTGAGAGTGGTTGACCTCAGATGCATCAAATGAAAAGCAAATGGGAGGCATCTTAAAGGTGGCAGGGGAAGTCCGATACTAGTAAGCGTTTGACTGGTTATGATGTAATGAGAAACTGTAGTGTGTGGTGACATCAATAAAACCGTTGATCCATTTTGGCGAAAGTGACAAACCACAAGCTTTACATATTTATGTTACTTTTTAAATGTATTAAACAATTTTGTCACGGTTTTGGAGCACACTAGCTTTTAGATATCCTAAAAACTAACAATACTGTTACTGTTAATTAGATTTAATATACTGGCTGGGGGTGGCATGATGGCTCAGTGGTTAGCAATGTCACCTCAGAGCAAGAAGGTCTCTGGTTAGAGTCCCGGCTAGGTCAGTTGGCATTTCTGTGTGGAGTTTGCATGTTCTTCCCATGTTGGCGTGGGTTTCCTCCAGTTGCTCTGGTTTCCTCCACAGTCCAAAGACATGAAGCACAGGTGAATTAAATGAACTAAATTGTCTGTAGTGTATGAGTGTGAACGAGTGTGTATGGGTGTTTCCCAATACTGGGTTGCACCTGGAAGGGCATCCGCTGCATAAAACATATGCTGAATAAGTTGGCAGTTCATTCTCCCGCGGTTACCCCAGATAATTGAAGGGACTAAGCTTAAGAAAAATGAATGAATGACATTTCTTGGAATAAGTGTTGTAATACTTAATATTTTAAGACATTTTTCTTGACTGAAGTCTAAGTTTTTTTTATTTATTATTATTTAACAAATCTTACCAAGTATAATTATCTTGCTGCACTGGCAGAATATCTGACTAGTTTCTTGTCTGTATCTTCTTAAATCAATCCTTTATCTTATTTACAGTGTATGCTTTTTTGCAGTGTATATGCTGTCCAGCTCTCTGTTTAAGTATCATTTATCTCTGTAGGACAAACAGATTGAGTGTGTATGCATACTGTAGGTGTTTGTTCACATTAGTAGCTCTCAGCATGCACAATAGTTTCAGTGTCAGGTTACTCTCTTTCGCTATGAGCTAATGAGGACACACTCGTGTTGAAAATACTCCAAGCTGTTCTACTCCACCAAATCCTCATTTAACCTTGCTTTTTTCATGGACGTGCTGCTATATAGAGCATGTTCTGCTATCTTAAAGCGGTTTTATTTTAATTAAAGCAAATGAAACATATTTGTTTCTTGCATTGTTTTATTCCCAAAGGCTTAATTAGTCTGTTTCCGAATGTACATTTAGCATGAAGGAGTCTTTCGTTATTTTCACTGTACTTGGTAAATCTAATTGCTCATATTTTCATTCGCCAGGAAAACAATATAGCGAAAACCATAAGAGGACGAAAAGAAAAGCAGTCATTTGCTGCTGGCACGTGTTACAATTTGTGGTGTTTTGACAGTTTGTATGCATTTATATGTGTGTTTTATGCGAAGCATGCCAATCAGCCTGAAGATTCATATTGGTCTTTATGGTCTTTAGTGGTCCTTGCTAAATTGCTGAAAATACCCCTAATAAAGTAACCGCTGCACAGAAATAATGAGAATTGTATTTTGGGTGAACTGTTGAAAGAGAAAGATTGATGTCAGAACAACACTGAGTGAGTATTAAAGGGGACCTATTATGCAAAAATATCTTTTAAAAGGGGTTTAAACACAGTTGTGTGGCAGCAGTGTGTGAATATAGCCAGCCTTTAATGTTAGAAATAAAAACAACTTTTCATTGAAGTGAGAAAGTCATGCCTGTAAGTGATAATCTTGCCCTTATTAGCATAGATATCCCTAAATGAAAAGCAGCCGTCTGTTAGTTTTAGGAT